TCATTCACTGGAAGATATGAAAAAGATACTCATGTCATCTACTTAATAACCCATTTTAAAGATTCAATTAATCCCAGCACCCAGGAGTTAGAAAGATCTTTGAATTTAAGACCATCCTAGCCTACAAAGTGACTTCCAAATCAAGACAGTTACATGGTGAGACCCTGTCTCAAAGATTCAATTCTCTATATTTGCAACAAATTCTAGATATCTGTTTATAAATTTTTTTCTTTTCAGACAGGTCTTGCTATGTTACCTGGGCTGGCCTCAGATAATGTTCCAAGTGCTGGTATGAGCCACCAAGCCTAGCTATATTGTTCTTTGGAATACTGGCACTTAATTAAATTTAAAGTCTCTCACACGTGAAGCATGTGTTTCTTCACTGACCTACAATTCCGAGGCAGTTTGTTTTTTGTTAAATTAATGTGTGTGGATGGAGACAAGAGAATTGTGGATAGTGAACGAAGCTAACTAAGTATGGCTTTCTCAGTTATCAAATGGAAGGTGTGGCATGTATGAGCAGGCATGATATGACCTTGACATCAAGGTGATAATGGCTTTCAGGAGAACTAGGAGCCAGAAGACTAGTTAACTCTTCTGGGACTCAAGGTTTAACTTATATGAGTCAATGCTCTTCATGCATCTTGCAGATTTTGTTCAGCTCAAAATCATCTATTATCCCATAAATGAACAACACAAAGCACATTCCAGAACACTGTGAATTTAGTCACACTTCGAAAAAAGTCACTTCAACAGTTGTTTTCCTTTGTTTAACCTGATTCACAATTATAAGTGTGTGTGTGTGTGTGTGTGTGTATATATACACATATACACTTAATAGCAAAAGATTAAGAAATTGTTTAAACTGCCTTTAGCAGTACAAAGGATTAACTAATGTTTTGTAAATATTTTCTAAAATATCTGACATCCAAATGCAGAGGGGCAGGAAGGTATGGTTAAAAAACAGAGGCAGCCGGGCGGCGGTGGCGGTGCACGCCTTTAATCCCAGCACTAGGGAGGCAGAGCCAGGCGGATCTCTGTGAGTTCGAGGACAGCCTGGGCTACCAAGTGAGTCCCAGGAAAGGCGCAAAGCTACACAGAGAAACCCTGTCTCCAAAAACCATAAAAAAAAAAAAAAAGCAAGAGGCAATAACTCTTTCCCCATGCCCCCAACTACCTTCTTATACACAATTTTCCTATAAAAGTATATTCTACCACTATACATCTTTCTAAATAGTTAATCTAAAAGTTGCCAGAAGCAGATGCATGTGTAAGTTTTGTGAGTTACTGTTTCATAAAATAATATTTAAAGGTAAGACTTAGATATAGCACCAAACTGGGGGGGGGGGGGGGGGGGAGCTTTGCAACTATCATCTGGAAACGGTCTTAAAATCCAAAACTAAAAGGTCTGAGATTAACTAAGCAAAAGACTTTAAACAGGGAATCCTGTTCACATGGTAAGTTCCGCACATAAAAAGCAGGTGGTAATGAGTTCTTTTCCCAGCAGAATATTTCCCAAACATTTCTTCTTGGGGAAAACCAAAGTGTATGTCCATGTGAATGTGTGTCGTACGAGTGCAAATGTCTAAACAGAAGAGAACATCAGATTCCCTGGAGCTGGAGTTAGAGGCAGTTGTGAAAAACCCCTGGGGGGTGCTGGGAACTGAACTCAGATCCATCTCTCTAGCCCTCCCCAACATTTCTATTCAACACTCTCCCACCCCCAACAAAACTAAAACCATTAATTACTAACATTTTTTGAATTGTACAGCTGGGCAGCTGATGAGCCTCACAGAAGTTAAAAGACTAGCTCACCAAGTGCTCAAACATTCAATTCTGATTGTCCCATTTAAGAGCTCTTCTTGTTTACCAAAACTGTTTCCCTTTACAGAGTTAACTCAATTTCTGCATGTAGAAAAGGGATGGAAAGACGGTCATTCTAGGTGAGCTTTCAATGTCCTGCAAGCCAAAAGGATTTAGTTTCTTAAACCATCAACTGGATGTCATACTTCACTCTTGAGATTAAGATTTATTTCCTTTCCTTTTTTTTTTTTCTTTTGGTTTTTCGAGACAGGGTTTCTCTATGTAGTTTTGGTGCCTGTCCTGGATCTCGCTCTGTAGATCCGCCTGGCTCAGCCTGGTTCTGCCTCCCGAGTGCTGGGATTAAAGGCATGCAGTGCCACCGCCACCCCAGCCTAGATTTCTTTCTAAGTGGCTGTAGTCCCTCAAACTACACAGGAAGAGGGAAGCCAATCACCCATGTAGGCCAAATAATTTTGAGTCTCTCTACCACAGCAGAGTATCTTAAAGCCAATCTTATAAACAGATTGTATGTGTGCATAAAAAATTAAGTATGAAAGGAGGATGTGTATGATAGGTAAAAATGAGATAAAAATTTAAAATTTAAAATTATTATCGACTAATGGATAAAACAGATTGTTCTAGTTACACAAAGCTAGCCAGCCAACTTGCCCGAACATTTTCCAAGTAAATATTTACTAGATATATAGTATGTCTAAGTGACATAGAATACTGAATATACAAAAGAATGGGAAAATGCTGCCACCAGACTAAGAATGTTTTTGTGAATATTTATCTTTTGGTGCAAAAAAACTATCATTTCATACTTCCCTTTAAAACCAACAAACTGGTCAGTCATGGTGGCCAGCACTAGAGGGAAGACAGAAGAATCTCTGAGTTTGAGTCTCAAGAAAAAGGAAAAACAAGCCGGGCGGTGGTGGCGCACACCTTTAATCCCAGCACTCGGGAGGCAGAGCCAGGCGGATCTCTGTGAGTTTGAGGCCAGCCTGGTCTACAAAGTGAGTTCCAGGAAAGGCGCAAAACTACAGAGAAACCCTGTCTGGAAAAACCAAAAAAAAAAAGAAAAAAGAAAAGAAAAAGGAAAAACAAAACAAAAAACAACCAACACACTGTATCTGTTTTTATGTACCTGTCCCTACCTTGCTTAACAACCTTACACTTTCCCCACCCCTACCTAATTACCACATTCTGCCTTAGGAACCACTCCCAGAAGCCACTCTATTCTTGGATGCCCTCCCCAACCAGTCCACCAAGCTTGCTTCCTGAAGTCTCATCTCCTTTCCCAGGAAGCCTTAATTTAAAAGCCAGGTTAATCTATTTAGCCCCACCCACAGAAAGCTTACAAGGGCAGTAACTCTGCATTCACCATTTTATAATAGGTACCTACTGGTCTGCTCACATGTTAACTCATCCATCTGCTTATTTAGTATACTACTCATTGCCCTTAATCATCTGTATCTGCAAGGTCCTGAAGCTACCAGACTAAAGAACACACTAGCATTGAAAATGCAATGATTAATGTTTTTTTGAAATTTATAAATTTCCCAACACAGGGCAATCTTAAAAGGATGACAATATGTAAAATGGGCCAAACACAAAAGACCCGATACAGGCTGATTGTACTTGAAGGAAACCAGTAAAAACAAAGCAGCAGAGGCCAAGGGCCTTTTTTCCTCCATGATAGTGTATTTCAGGGACACAAAAAAAAAATCTCTCAAAAACTCAAACCTCCTCCAATTTCACTTTAAATTATTCACTTGGCCATATAAATCTGGAATTTTCTTTGAAAGAGCTCATTTACAAATGACCAGCAGAGTATTTATCACCCCCCAGCATCTGTATTAAAAATGTTTATCATTTTTTAAATGTAGTAGTATTATTTAGATTGAAGGTAATTCATTACTCATTTCAGGACTTAGAAAAAAGCAGCTGGGTGTGGTGTACTCCTTTATTCCCAGCATCTGGGAAGAGGCAGGGAGATCTCTATGAGGTCAAGGCCCAGGCTGGTCTATATAACATCACCCAGTCGAGGCAGAACAGGGACAAGAGAGGAATGGAAAAGGAGAGAACACATTATGCAGCAGTCCATTTCGTTCTCAACTATGATTCTTTTTTTTTTTTTAACAGTGAGGTTTAAAGCTATAGTTTAGTTTTTACAAAGGTTAACTTCAAAAGTAAAATTAATGTTTCTTTCAATAAAATCAAATATTTGAAACAGCAATTTTTGTCCTGATTATTTCTATTTACCATTCATCCTCCTCTCCGACGAAATTTCCCTTAAATGTTACCGACAAAATAACTCAACAGGTTGAAGCTACTTATCAAACAGCTGGTAAGTGAAGCTTTCTTTATAAAGCTGACCAGCTCATTTCAACAGTTGGTGCTGTTCTAAACGGCCTTTGCCATTGCCCGTAAAGTTTGTAGGAACTGAAACATGTCAAACATTACCATTCACAAAAGCAAAAAGCAATGAACATATTGGGCAGGGATATTAAGGATTCTAGATCAGTATAACATAACAAGTTATGTCGCATCTGCTGCAGGGATCACACACTGTCATGCCATCTCCTTCCCAGAATCTCATGGCCTTATGGGACTCAATTCTTGGCTTTCCAAGAGTTAATCCATTTAAGGCTGCTAAAGGGAAATCAAGGAAACTTAATATGTGAATCCAAGCGGAGAAAAAGGCAGGAATATGGGGGTTGAGTCACGTCGTTCCGCCATTTTCTAAGCGGAGGAGGAAGACATGTTGGAACAAAAACACAACAAAAGAGCAGCCATTTCCCAAACCAGCTCGGATAGCAACCCCAACAGACTAAACTCGGTCACATCCGCACCTTCCCCACCACTTCAGTGGACAAAGGTACGAACATCAAAAGTGTCGCCGTAGTAAAGATAGCAAGATCCCTCCCGCGTAGGGATCAAAGATGACCTGCATAGTTAACTGCAAACGAAAGCCCCGGGAAACGGGAAAATTGACAGAAACTAAATGCAGCAGTACAACAAACAAAATTTCAACTAAGTTGGCGAACTAAAATTTATCCAACGATTACGGTTAATTGTGGAACCTGGGGGACTCGGACCAACACCGACTCAGCCGGTCCCATTACCAGCCTCAATCCCTTCCACCATTGATTTCGCAACTCCCTCTGTGACCGACTGTGCTCAAGGGTTCTTACCGTATGTGAGGGATGCCAACCCCACCTTGAAGAATCTTATACAGTTTGCTCTCGTACAGCAACTGGGGATGCCTGGCCTTCTGGGATTCTAGCTTCACTGCCACTTCCTGCAGAGGAAAGGGGATGATGGCATCAACATCCCTATGGATTCAAACTCACTTGGGAAATGAGAAGAGACATTAGCAATGCTTGCTTCTAGTCGCCGCCACTACAAGGACGTGAAAGGATGGGGAAAAACTACCTCTGTAATTACAAAACAAGCCAACCGGCCTCAAAGGCTTTTTCGGGGGGCAATGGCGAACCCCCCATGTCCTCTAAATCTAAAGCGAATGAAAGGATTCATCCAGAAAACATGCAACCTTGGGACGTAAGGCGAGATTTTTTTTTTTTTAAAAAAAGAAACTGTTCTAATTGGAACAAGAACCCCAAACTAAATTTAAGAAATACAAAGAACACCATGGCGATCACACGCCTTCGCCCTGCTCCTCTCATCTTAAACAACGGTTAAAAAGAGACATTCTGAACAAGCTGGGAAACCTCAGAGTTTACCCGGCCTTTCTATTGGGTTTTTCCTTTTTAGGGAAATAGTGGGGGAGGTTGCTAAGCCAGGAGAGCTGGCTCGCTCTAGGCTCCCCAGTGCGTGCGTGCGTGCGTGCAGTGGGAAGAGGCTTGGAGTACTTAGGGGGGTTGGGGTGGGGGGGAAAAAAAAAAGCCCAGCGTTAACGTGTCCCCCCCCCCCCCTGCCCCGAAGCGGGTGATTACCTCGCCATTGGTGATGTTGATCGCCAGATAAATGTCCCCGAAGGAGCCCGATCCGATCTTCCGCACCAGTTTGTATTTCCCTCCGACGATAAATTCGGCCTTAGAGCCGCTGCTGCTCGCCATCCTGAGACGCGAAGATGGAGGCGGGGGCCGAGCCCCGACACCTCTGGGAAGAGGATGGAGGCCTCCGGGGCTGTTCCCCCGGGCAGAACGGCGGAGCGCGGCAGGCCACCGGGAAGCGAGGCTTTGTTGGCGTTACGGGGCGCCGAGTCGGCTGCGAGAAACGGGATCGGGATCGCCGCCGCCGCCGCCGCCGCCGCTCGCTGGAGGGCCAGGCCGCAGTTCGTGAAGGGTGGTCGGCGGCTGCTGAAGCTCGCTCGGCCCGTGGCTTTGGGGCGGCCGCCGCTGTCTCGCGTTGGCGGCGACGTTGCGGGGGGGGGCGGGGGAGGCTGGGAGAGGGGCGCGGGGGGTTAGGGCGGCGCGACCGCTGCCACCACTGCCGCCGGCTCCGGCCCGGAGGGGGGACCCCCGTCACTCCGCCGATGCCGCCATCTTGTTACTCCAGCTCCAGCCAACACAAAATGCCCCCGGTCCCTGGGAGCCGCTTCTTCACGGCGCAGAGCACTCTGGGAAAGGGATCGCGGGCGCTCGGGCGGTAGGGTGGGCTGCGAGACGGAGGGCGGAACCGGATCCGCGAGAGGCGCAGCCCACGCTCCGAGCGTCACCCCCGTCGCCGCCCCGCGGCGCCTGCGCACGGCGATGCCTGCGGACCGCGCAGGCGTGCTGCGGCCGGTCCTCTCTCCCCTCCCCCCCACCTCCTCGCCGGGGCTCACTTCCACTTCCGGCCGTCTGCGGGTCCGCTCTTGCTACCTGTTAAGTCAGTTCAGGCCCCGAGGCTTGTGTCGGGCTGTGCTTCTGGAGAGCGCGTTAGGGAGTCACCTCTCTCTCTCTCTTTTTTTTTTTCAAATGTGGCCAATGGAAGCGTCTGGTCTCCTTGGGAGTGGAGCGTTGACCTTTCTTCCGCGTTTGAGGCGGTTTGTAACCTTTGATCCGTCTTCAAGTCACTCTCAGGGGCCGTCCTTTCCCAGCCCAGTTTCTGCTTGGAAAGAGAAAAGCCGAGCTGGGCGAGCTGGGTTCAAGAAGTGGCTCAGGTTTTAGTAGGGCCTAGTTGATTGCTAGTAATTAGAGTTCCGGCTCCCTGGAATGTTGCTAACACCCCCCCCCCCCCATTTTTTTAAGGGCTCAGAAAGAACCTGGAATCGGTCTCACCCCAATGTCTGTGGCCCTATGAATACACTTGATCTGAAAGGAACAATTCAAATAGATGCTTCATAATTTTACTGACATGATGAAGAGAAAACAAAAATAACAAGCTGGGCGGTGGTGGCGCACGCCTTTAATTCAAGCACTTGGGAAGCAAAGGCAGGTGAATCTGAGTTCGAGGCCAGCGTGATCTACAGCGCTAGTTCCAGGACAGTCAGAGCTACACAGAAGAAACCCTGTCTCGAAAAACCAACAAACAAAACAAAAATAAGGATAACAGTAAGGAAATTGCTCATAGTAAACGTTGTTATACCCATCCCCAAAGGAACAGTCACATTTGAGTCATGTTGAAAAGTACAGTATTGATATAAACGGTATAAATAACTATCATAAATTAAAATTGAGAGTGTTTAAAACTTAAGAAGGTAATTTTTAAGTAAAAACCGATTTAAAAATATCAGGACTTGCCGGGCGATGGTGGCGCACGCCTTTAATCCCAGCACTCGGGAGGCAGAGCCAGGCGGATCTCTGTGAGTTCGAGGCCAGCCTGGGCTACCAAGTGAGTTCCAGGAAAGGCGCAAAGCTACACAGAGAAACCCTGTCTCAAAAAACCAAAAAAAAAAAAAAAAAAAAAAAAAAAAAAAAAAAAAATCAGGACTTGACCTTATTTTCAGTTACAATATTTGACCAAAAACTGAATGTGAAATTAAGGTTTACAAAGGCTCTGTTGGGTGCTATGAAAGATGAATATAGCGTAGGTTGTAAAAATTTTAAGTCAACCCTAAAATGAACTCATCAAAATGAAAAAAAAGGTTTTTTTTTATTATTTTCTGTATGTGTATGTGCCTGCATGTGTCTATGTGCACCACATACATGGATGCTAGAGAGAACTGGATCACCTGAACTGGAGTCACACGTGCTTGAAAGCTACCTGGTGTGGGGGACAAAAACTGACCTCCGGGTCCTCTGCAAGGGTAGTGAGTGCTCTAAACCACTGAGCCATCGCTTCAGACCAAGGAAAAATGAAAAAAAAAAAGTTTTAAATGCTACCTTGAAAGCTGGTACAGTAGTTCACAGAATCTAGCTAGGGTTTTACAAGGAGTTCTTAAATATAAGCCAAACCAGGATTGGCCAAAGCATCCATGAGAGTTTTGAAAAAAGGAATCTTAGTGGAGATGTACAGATGCCCTCAGTTGGTATGGTAGGGAGACTAAGTCACTGATTTTCAAAGGTATGTGTATGGATAGGTACAAGTCTAGCAAAGTCCATAAACTTATAGGAGAGCAGTATAGTGTGTTTTTCATTTCCTAATCTAATTTCACGTTGTGCTTTATTGAAATTCTTATCTTCCTGCGTTTGTGTCCTCAGAATACATTTTCATAAAATGAGCCGGGCGGTGGTGGCACACGCCTTTAATCCCAGCACTCGGGAGGCAGAGCCAGGCGGATCGCTGTGAGTTCGAGGCCAGCCTGGGTTACCAAGTGAGTCCCAGGAAAGGCGCAAAGCTGCACAGAGAAACCCTGTCTCGAAAAACCGAAAGAAAAAAAAAATGATGCTGATGGGGGCTGGAGAGGTGGCTTGAACTCTTGCAGCTCCTTTAGTGGACCCAGGTTCAGTTCCCAGCATCCAGATGGTGGCTCACAACTGTCCGTAACTCCAGGTCCAGAGGATCAGATGCCCTCTGGTGTCTGGGTCACTTCACCCATAGGGTGCACAGATAAATATGCAGTCAGAACTCCCATGCACATAAAGTAAAAGTAAATCTTTAAAAAATGGTGCAGATGGCACCATTTTGGTTTTTTTAATCTTTATTTGGAGAGGTTTTAAAAAATGTCAACTTATATATCTAACCTTTTCCAAAATGGAATTGTTATAAGCCCATCCCCCGTACCCCCCCCCCACACACACACAAAAATCTCACTTCTGGCCAGGCGGTGGTGGCACACGCCTTTAATCCCAGCACTCGGGAGGCAGATGCAGGCGGATCTCTGTGAGTTCAAGGCCAGCCTGGTCTCCAAAGTGAGTTCCAGGAAAGGCGCAAAGCTACACAGAGAAACCCTGTCTTGAAAAACCAAAAAAAAAAAAAAAAAAAAAAAAAAATCTCACTTCTGGACCTCCTAGTCTAAATGACTTTTAAAAATGCTTCTGAGGCACTATGGTTTTTACACAGACACATGTAAAATAAATTTTATATATGAAATTTAGCATGTGTTACTTGTTTCCAGAATATTGTAGTCACTATTCTAGTACCGACTAGGTACTAAATGTTGTAAAATAAATGAGTGGCCACGACCTTTGCAGGTTTCTGTGATTTCTATTGTGTCTAACGATTTTAAGAAGGGCAAATTTGATGGGCTTTGTTTCGTTTTGGTTTGCTTTTCCAAGACAAGGTTTCTCTGTGTAGCCCTGGCTGTCCTGGAACTCACTCTGTAGACCAGCTGGGTCTCGAACTCAGAGTTTCACCTGCCTTGGCCTCCAGAGTGCTGGAATCAAAGGCATGCACCACCACCGGGAGACTGGTGGTGTTTGTTTTTAGTATGGAAACTCTTTTTTTAGGTATTCGCTGTGACTCAGTCTATTTGTTTTTTAATTCATGCATCATTCTGTAGAAACTTTCATCCTAAGTTATTGAAGACTTGCCGTTATTTGGGTGCTGGTATTTAAACTGGCTAGTCATTCCATCCGCATTAAATCGGCAGCAGCTTTGTAATAGAAGGAGTTCATACATGCCAAAATACAGTTGCTGGCACTTATCAGGTGAATTCACTAAAATTATTTTGAAAATGCATACAAATTTTAGACCCTGGGGAAATTTACAGATCAAGGTTGATAATTACTATATTTCAAATACAATTTACAGAATGCTTTCACACATGCCGTCTGTGCCCTTCTATGATGAACTGGCTTGTCAATGGTCACACAGGTCTTAGTGGAGAAGACAGGATGAGAACCCCAACTTTTAACCAAGAGAAAGAGAACTTTTGGGAAGGGCAGAACACAAATTTGGACGATCACGTCCCAGTAATTACACTTGTGTCTATTGACAAGTCTAGATTAAGTGGCTACAATCTTTCAAAGCCAGCGTTACTCAAGAAAAGTTTCCCGGTAATCCGAGTGTGTTTGGGGTAAAATAAGAACAACCACAAGAAGTTCAGATGAATTTAAAAAACCCAAGCAGCTTGTCCATCTCTAGGATCGCAAACCTACAAATCAGTAGAAAACGCAACACCTTTAGAAGGCACCAAGTTCTGCCCCGGGTGTTGACTATTAAACACGCTTTAGTAGAGTCAGTATCAGATGCAGGAGTCAACGGAGTGTTGAAAACTCGAGGAAAACAGAAATGTGCCTTTGGGTTAGCGTCACAGTCCATTCTGCCTGTTCCCCAGTGTTTGACACTGACAGCAATTTCATATGTGTTTCTTTTCCCACTTCCTGTTCTTCCCACTGCATGGCTCACAGGGTTTTGTTAAAGTGGATTGCTATGAGCTCGTGTCTTCTATGGATGACAGGCAGTTACAGCCGCGAAATCTTAACAATATGGTCACCTACACACGTCCAGCTCAACGACAACATCTGTTAACACCCGACATGGACGTGGGAAATAAGTCCCCGCCTCTAGATGAAGGGAACTAATGGCAACTAAAAGAGGGAGAAGCAGTCCTCTCTGAGGTCGAGCTCCCAGACAGGTTATCCAATCCCAAGCGGTGGTCAGCCCTAAACATATGTACATATAAGCCACGCTACATAGGCTCAATAGGTTGTGTGTGTGTGTGCATGTGTGTGTGTGTGTGTGCGCGTGTGTGTGTTAGTCATATATATGTATTTATATGTAGAAGTCATAAAGTTGAGAGGGAGTAGGGGTGACAGGAATGGAGCCGGAGGGGGAGAAGGGTAGAAATGATGTAAACACAGTACACAATACTCAAAGTTTCAAAACTATACTGAATGGCCCTTTACACTTATAAGAGTATTTTGTAGTTCACGAGAGGCCCTTACTTCCTAGTGGGAAGTAAGCTCTGAGCTTGGCAAGAACTCCTAAAAGTGCTTCTCACCTCTATCCATTAGGCAAATGATAAAGATCTAAGATCCTTCTACTTACCTTTTAGCTTATATAAAACTCACATTTTGGTATTTTTAAAGATTGTTTAGAATTTCAAATATACATGTGTGTACACGTTTAATT